TTTGGAAAAAGCACATTTCAGGCAGAGAAGACAGCTAGTACAATGGCCCTGAGTTATAAGGATGCTCCTGTTCCAGAGAAATTTCCACTGGAGCCAGTGAGGAGGAGCAGGAAACTGGAGCAGGAGTGAGGGAGGACTAGAGTAATAGAATACAAGGTCAAAGACTCAAGCTGTGGTGATGTGTGGACCGGGCAGAGCACACAGGATATTAGATCATCAAATGAGAGTTATAGCTTTAACGTGGAGTAAGTTTTTAGTAGGAAATTCCATGATCTGACTCATATTTTAACAGAACCACGTGACCATAATAACACTTATTAGTATCAGACAAAAGATAGCCTATGGGCAGTTTTTATGTTTTTCTAACTTGTATTCACCACAAATTAATAAATGATCCCTAAAACACAAAAATGAATCATTCAACTATTATAGTTAAAGTAACTGTTTGAAACCACAAAGAAATCACTTTATCTATCAACAAATGTTAACTGAGTACCTATATGTGTAAAATACTATGCACTTACTGAGCAAAGAACTCTGATGAAATTAAATAGATAATAATTTAAATTAATCAGTTTTTTTTCACAGTTTCCATTTCTATTTTGCATTCTAATTTATATCATTAACTAATTATATTAAATTTTAAAAATTGATATGAAGGTCACTGAGTGAAAGTATATTGATTAAATATGCAGCATGGCTATCTTACTGAGATTTCAAAATATAATTTTTTATATTAAAATTCATTTAGAAAAATTTATATTTTAAATATTGCATTTCTTATGCTTATCTTGCACTGCAATTGACTATTCATTATTTCAAATTTCAGTTCCTTGATAGTCCCCTAAATCTGTCATATAGATAGTTCCTTTGAAGAGAAAGAGTGCAAAGTGTGAAAACCTTGAATTTTAATTTTTAAATTAGTTTTGGCAAATGAAAACTATTTTAGCACTTCAGAGGCACATATTCCACTAACTCTAGCTTTACCTAAGACTACAATTATGAAGACTCAGTAGAAAGACAATTAAAAACTTCTCATTCCTGAGGGGCTATATGATCCAACACGATTTTGCATCACACAGTCTTTTACATTATAGGTCCTCATTATGTAACACTATCCACATGTTACTGTGTTTTAGGAACTGCACTAAGTATGTTATATGTGTGTCATCATTTAATCATCACAATACCTATGGACAAAGAAACTGAGGCTCAGAAAATTTCCTTAAATTGCCCAACACCAAAAGCTTCTAATTGACACTGAAGACATAAATATTTCTAACTTCAATGTGCATTACGTTATACTTAAAGTATAATTTTCTGAACAGATTTTGCAATAATAGCACATGGTACAAGGTAATTTTCCACTGGTTTATCAGTATTAGATGCATTTTCTGCTGTGTCAAATTGGTCTGCCATTTCAGACAAAAAAAAGATATACACAAATAAGGTATAACAATTAAAAGTAATGGTATGATTATTCAATTTCCCACTCTTGAAAACCCTGTGTTGACTGTAACTGTTTTTGTACCCTTTGGTGTTCAAAGTATAACCTATTACTTTGGGTCATATATCTGAAATGTATTCAAATCTGCCTACCCCCCATCTCCATTGTGATATCCATTGTCATCTAATGTTCTTACTTGATTGGACTGCCTCTGTAACTCATATCTAGTCTTCTCTTCTACCCAAGTCCATGGTCCACATTGCTACTGGAGGTATTTTTCTAAATGGAAAATTTAACTTGTTCACCTAAAAATATGATTTATGATTTCTTTCACTTTTAAAAATTAAACTTTATAGACATTCTAAGCATTTTTACCAAAATGTCTAGATTTATATTCCTTTAGTACCTTGCAATGCTCTTTTGCTTGAAAACGCTTTTTTTTTTTTTTTTTTTTTTTTTGAGATGGAGTTTCACTCTGTTGCCCAGGTTGGAGTGCAATGGCACGATCTCGGCTCACTGCAACCTCCACCTTCTGGGTTCAAGTGATTCTTCTGCCTCAGATTCCCAAAGTATCTAAGACTACAGGCGCCTGCCCCCTCACCCAGCTAATATTTGCATTTTTAGTTGAGACAGTGTTTCACCATGTTGGCCAGGCTGGCAGGGTGGTCTCAAACTCCTGACTCCCAAGTGATCGGCCCGTGTTGGCCTCGCAAAGTGCTGGGATTACAGGTGTAAGCCACCATAGCTGGCCAAAAAAGTTATTTCTAATGATGAAAAAGCACAAGTAAAAACAACAGATAAACCCTAAAAATAAAATTTAGATGTGACAGAGTAATCTTGGTTTTAACTTTTTAACTTATATTTGGAAAAGTACAAAAAGATCACCTAGAAACCCCAACATTAATTTCTAAATTCTATACCAATTGTTTAATAAACGTTATTAAAGAAGTGAAAGAACAAACATTCTACAATGTGAATTTAAATACCCCTTTTCAAAGTTGGCATTTATTATTAAACTAAGGAGAGTTATTTGTTTATTTCCCAAATGTATTTATGCTTGATTTCAAACTTCTTTGTAAAGAAAGCAATTGGTCACAATTGATATAATTGTATTTTATAATTATAGATAGATTTGATAAGAAGAGGAACATCACTGAAACTGTATTGATGGTAATAGGGAAGAGAAGCAGAAATATTGGTTAACATGCTTCTTCTGTTCCTTGCTAACTAAGTGTCCTAGCACCATGTAGTTGTAGGAAGTGGAGCAATACAAGAGATAATAGCTCTGCTACCAGGACAGCACTCTGGATTGTGGCCAGGTTTGGGAGGGGAAGCAAATTACATGGCATGATCCCCACTCCTACCACATGGTGGAAGGAAATTATTTTTGAGTGCAGAAGACAGCAGAGTTAGAGTTCCTCAATTTAAAATGAGAAAATGAGGTCCTGAGAAAATGAAGGAAACAGAATTTGTTGGTGGTATATCTCCAATATTCTCACTCTCATCTTTGGCATGTGCTCTAGAACTTTTCTGTGATACCACATTGATCATTAAAGTATGACCACAGCCACTGTCTCTAAACATTAGTGGAACACCTGTTATGTGCAAGACACAGAGCTATTTATTATACATACACTTTAGAATCTAACCCTTTTAACAGTCCAATGAGGCTGATGCTCTCTTCATTTTATAGGTGAACAAACGACAGATAGAAAACTTGTTCAAGGCCCGTTAAGATGAATTCAGGTCAGTCAGACTCCTCAGACCATATTTTCTCTGTTACACTTTCCTTATGCTTTCCATAATGGAAAGGGTTGAATTTGGTTCTAGAAGGATAATTATAGCTTACAGTAAAAAAGTTTTTATATCATTGTTAATAATTATATCATTGTCATTATCCTTGTTAAGGACATTTAAAATATTGCTTTAGGCAGCAGCACTACAAAAGGTAGGTTTTGAATCCCCAGGTTCCTTATTAAGGGGTAAAAGCATATTGTCTGAATGTAAAGGGTATACACATTAAGAGAAACTACATTACAGAGTACCAAGTGCAAAAATAAAGAAAGCCCCTGTGGAGTTATGAAAGCATAACTCAGCCTCAGGCCAAGGAACATCTACTGACAGGAAACATGTACGGAGAAAATCCTACGCTCAGAGAACACTGATAAACAAAGAGCACACATAGAGCAGTAACATGTGCAGGCTTTCATTCTTCTCCCCTCGAATACCCTCAGTTTTGTCAGTTCTTTCTATTCTGTAACTGCAATTGCTTGCCTGCTAAGTCATTGCACTTGAAACAAAGACTGGGCAAGGAAAAGGAAGGAAAAAATTCATTCTGCTGACCCCCCAAAAAGCTAGAGCTTATTTTGACATGAGTTTTCAGACAGCCTCTAGAAAGGATGCAGGTTGTGCAAAAAGGTGTGTTTGTTGGGTGCTCAACAAAAGCCATTTAATAGCCAAGTCCTAAAAACGTACATACTTGAATGACAATTCTTGAATGACGTTCTTGAAAACAATCATTTACTCCAAGCGATTGCCTCTTAAGTGTCATCAAGCCTACTTATTCCATATTTGGGGAAACAAGTTTCCAGAAAAGTCACAGGTGAAATCAGGAAAAGGTCATCCTCTGAAACGGAGGCTAGTAAATGTCGCCACAGTCGATGAGTTGCCATGTTACCAGTGCCTCTTTATAGGATATTGTAAGATGTAGGACCTGTATCTAAGTCCACCAGTATCATTCTGATGTTATAATTGTACCTTACATGTTGGACATGAAATTACTGTGGCTCTTGTCATTAAAACCATCAAACAATTTAAGAATAAGAAGAAGCTAGTACATATCCAAGATTGTCCAAAGGAGACAACATTACAGTTTTAGACAACTCATGCATTTTGGTAGGAAATATTTCTACAGTGGGGAAGACAATAGATATAGCTGCTCCAGTGTGATTAAAAATATCCATTTAGAGCACCTGAAAATGTGTTGGAATTCTGTGCACCCAACTGAACTACTGATCTAAAACTTAATTTACAAAACACATTTTCAAGGAGAGTGGTTGAAGTAACAGATTGAATAATCTTCCCAGGAGGGCAAAAATCAACAACTCTTTGGTTATGTTTCCCCCACAGATTCTATCACAGCACTGTAGACAAAACAAAACAAAACAAAGCCTTATCACTGCATTTTAAAATTTCTCATGGTAAATTAATAAATTAAGACTTTTACTAAATAAAGTATAATAGTACAGCCTGATATATCTTGGCGAAATTAGAAAAATTAATTCCAGAGTCTACAAAACTGAAGACCACACTTGAGACCCTTTTTGTCTATTAAGGTACCAGCTCCTATTAAGGCATCAAATCCTTTGACTGATTAAAAAAAATGTGTCACATTCAACTCAATTATAACCTATGAGTATTATAGGCAATCTCATATACTATAGAAATCGTATTGGTACAGAAGTATAGTTCAGTGATATGGATGAGAAATTCATAGATCATATCAGAATAAAGAAAGAAAAGACAGACTTTAATAGAAAAGAAAATGTCTTACTTGGTTAAGAATGTCTTGTTTCTGTGCATGCAAGGAAAGAAAGAATACATGTGTTAATGTAAGATAATTTATACTCATTATCTCATATCTCTGATTATTTAGCTAAAAGTTCAAGTTTACAGGTTGATTTTAAAACATACCCTAGATCCATAGGTCTCAAAACATGGTTCCAAAACAGTGGCATCAGCATAAGCTGGGAAACTGATAGAAATGCAAATTCTTGAGCCCCACCCCAGAAACACTGAATCTAAAACTGTGTGGGGTAGAGGGGAGGCAGACAGCAATCCCTGTGTTAACAAGCCCCACAGTTGATTCTGAGGTACACTAAAATGTGAGAATCAATGACTAGATCAATCTTTGTATATAATAAGCAAACTGTTCTGACAGATAAATATAATATGTAACACATATAGTATGATTAAAATATTTCAGAGGATTAATAGAAATATAACCATGTATATAAAGGTATGTCAGATTTTGAATATGTATTTCCCATTCCTAAGGTTTCCTTCTATCAGCATCACAACTAGCATCTCTCTGTACCCTTAAGGATTAAAATATATTTCTATATACATCTGCCACTTTCTTCCCATATCTCAGCTGTGAGTGGAAAAATTTGAAATTGAACTTGAAGTCCAAGACCAAAAGAAAAAAAAAAAAACACATGGAATGCTAAACTGTCTTCCCCTCGTACTACCAAATTCTACTGCTCTCAGGAGACTCTTTATATGGCCTGACCATGTTTTACTGTGAATAATCTCACTAAGACTGGATCTCTGCTACAAACTAGCTTGTAATAATGTTCTTAACATTATATTATTTACACAAGAGTAGGTGGAGACTAATAAGACTCTCTCCCCTTGTCAGGCATGAGTCATTAACATGTATGTGTACTGGGAAGTGCCACACTCACTACAAAAGAAATATCTTCCCATGCCTTCCCCTAACCTTTTTCCTTCCTATCTAAGAGGACAGTCCTCTCCCCTATGCCTTGGTCAACGAAGTGAAGAGCACAGGACATTAGCCTTAAACTGGGATTCTAGTCAATTAGGTTTTTGTTGTGGTTACTGTTGTGAGCTAGCTGGTGAGTCTTGGACAAATTATTTCACTTTTCTTAGAATAGTTTATGTATTTAAAAACTTTATAATTTTATTAATTTGGGAATCTCAAGGCCTTTGAAAGGTTTTTATTCCTACAGAATCTTTAAGGCCATTGTTTAGATTTCTATTATTCATTTCTTCAAGTAACGATTATCAAATGATCTTTAATAGGAATTAAAAGTAAATGATTCATTCACAAATTATACTTAATATTTTTTCTCTATTAAAATAGACTTCAACAGGTCACATCTTTTTTGGGTTAAATTTTTATCCCCAGCACTTTAAAAATTCAGTAATTCAAGGGAATTATAAGCAAAATAGTACATCTACCATTTAAATAGCTTTATGCTGTAGGAGGTTAAGCAATTTAATTTTTGCCAATACATTTTATGTAAATGATACAAGCTATGTTCCTTTTGGAAAACAATGAATTAATTATCATTCCAAATTCAGGCTGGATTACTCAATTGTCCATTTTTTCTTGTATAATTGAGCATCATTAACTAGTCATCAGTGCAAACAACTTTGGGTCAACTTGACAAGCCAATGGAGAGTGATAACTTCACATGTGAACTGACATTAGGAATTCTGTCATATTGTAAGAGTAATTTTTTATAAATTGGATGAGGTCATGTATTGAAGAGAACTTTAAGGTCATAAAGATTTATTTCTCATCATTAGATAGTCCTAATTATTTTCGATTGACTTTTAGAAGATACATACTAGTTTTTAAAATGGTTATATAAACCTTAAAATTTTCTTCTGAAGGAAAAATGTTATCAAAATTAATTAAGATAAGAGAGTGGTTTTGCTCTTAATTTAGAATTGTTCTTGAGTTGTAATGAGATCTTTTTGTTTTTCAACTGTTCATTATTTTAATAACATGTTTCAACAATACATCTGTACATTTATGAAAGGTATAACATGGTTGAAAAGGGTGATATGTGTGTCTAATAATGTGTCTAATAACTACCTTAATAAATAAATGTAGTATATGGTGAATGGTAATTCTCATGAAATATATAATAACAGTAAGACTAAGTCTTGAGAGCCCTATAAATTAAAAAAAAAAAAAAAATTGAAGCAAAAAGGCTGCTTTGCAAACAAGATCACTTAACTGAGTTTGTAGCCAGCAGCTATCATTAGGGAGAAAAACAGGTTTTATCCCTGTATATAGATTAGATAAGCAAATAAGTTTTCAAGTATTGTGGTGAATATAAATATTAATGACAATTTTTTTTTTCTTGTAGCAATTCAGTGCTATAATTCATCTTTACTTTTCCCACTCTGCTTTCTTAGGCTTTGAAATTCTCGGTTTTGTAAGTTTAGCTGCTAACTTTATTTTCCCCCTTCTCTATGCCATCTAGAAAAATACAGTATGAGGGAAATGTAGGTCAAACATCTATTTTTTTTCCAATACAGAAAAATGGTAATGGCTTTAAATAGCCTTTATTTTCTCCATCATTTATGGGCACCAATATTAATTTTATTTTTTAAGAAAATAAATTCCAACCTAAAGAGTTTTAAAAGTCACAGTAATGTACCAGAATGTAGACAGAATAAGGATATATGACATGAAAAACAGCTAACTATGAGAAATACTGATAGGAAATCTCAAAACAATTTGAATAGCTTGAGGGTTATGATAACTAAAATTAAGTTCTATAAATCCCAGGGAAGTACAATATTGAAAGATAACTAAGAAGTCTGTTCTTGCAAACATACAAAAATGAAACAATAATCGCAAAAAATAAGTCACATTTTAGTCAGCAAACAAATCTATCTAGTTAATACATCCCGACAAAAGAATCTTTTGCAAAGAGAAGCTTGAAGCGACCTAATGTTGCCTTCTGAACCTACAAATGAACTAACAGTAATGGTGATCAAACATTTAAAATGTAACATCTCTCAACTAATATTAAATAGGTTACTTAACAAACAATTAGGAAGGAAAAGGCATTCATTCAAGCATGGTGTTCAAAAACAATTGACAAGACATGCAAAGTTTTCATAAGAAAATGATTTCAAGAAATCTTAAGCTTACTGGTAAAAGGTAAAATAGAAGATTAAACAAAATCCCTCTCTTTTTGTACAAGTTGGCTCCTTAAGGTTACAGACCTGGTATAAGCAACACAAAATCCTTCCTTGGTCAAGGAAATAATTGCCTGAAAGGGGTAACTCCCTACCCCTACACCAATATCCATTTTGGATTGAAATTTGTGGGTCATAGACTGAGAGCCAAGCATATTCCTTCTCTCTTTTATCCAATGCTGTTTCCTGACTCCTAGGAAAATAACAAACACTACACTTAAATGATTCATATTCTTTCAAGCATACAATATAGATGAGTTATTTGAATGAAAAATGTTGTACAACATTTAATATATCTTCTAGAATAGCATTGCATTATGAACTTAATTTTGTTTATGTTATGGTACATGGTAAATGGTTTATGGTGTGCATATATATACACACACACACACACATCTGTATCATACATATATAATGTATATGTGTACACACACACACACACACATTTTTCTAAGAATTTTTCATTAAGAAATATCCTCTTCCAAGCATATATATGAAACTGATATAAAGAAAAAGAAGTTTTACCCCTTCAGGATTATACTTTGCAAGTACACCATTACCATGGAATTCTTCAAGAACATCCTTTAATTTCTTTGTAGAATCTATAAAAAACAGAAAACACAAAAATTGTTTATATGCACATATTGTGATTGTATAGCCCAGTCCAGGAACAGAGACCACTTAAAATGTAAACAAGTATCAGCAGAAACTAAATTTAAAAACCAACATATAAAATGTCTATTGCCATTTTTAAAAGGCTGTATGATTGGAAAAGAAATTACAAAGAAACAAAAAGGTCACTGCATTAAATAAAAACAATACTGCTGGATAAGAAAAATAAAATGTGTAGCTAAGCCTCAATGGTGAGTCCATTTAGAGGGAAGCTACAGATTTAGTATCTTGTAGATATTTTTAAGGAGAATTTTCTCTACACACATAACACAACTAAATTAAAGCTTACTTTAATAATTAAATTAAAGCTTTAGTAAGTAAGCTTTAACTTAGTTATGTCATGTATTTTACCTTGTATATGCATTGTGAATAACATTTTAGTTTTGTTATGTATAAAGATTACCCCATTTAATGAAGAAACAAAGCTTAGACATATTACCAAAAGAATTATAAGTTATTTTCTTCAAAAGTACTACTACTTTTAAACCTTTCATCTTATTAGTTGGTGACAAGAAATTTTAAGTTAATAAAATAATGTCATAAAAGAATTATCATAAATATTATTACAATTAAAGTTAAATACATTAATATGATATAGATATATTCATTCAGTCTACTAAAATATTGCTCATTATACATATTGAAATATAATTTTTGATTGAGAAATCTCAGAATTACAATGTACTTTTAAGTTAGAAGGAAATAACAGCTAAGAAATACGGATGAGTCATCTGAATATTTAATCAAGTTTAAATAATAATGAAAAAAACCCTTAAAATTAAAATGTAGGAAATACGTAGATTTTCCCATTTTCTTTTACGGAACAGAGCATGGAAAACTGTTTGCTACCATTTGCATCTAATTCTTGTTGACCTTCGCTAAGAGTCAGTGATATGTGGACTACCACAAAATATTTCCCAGTTCCAGAAAACTAATTCACAAATTAGTTTTTGAAACATCCTGCTAGAAAACTCTCTCATACATGCCCATTGAATACATAATGCCTATATTTTGTGAATTATACTTTTACTTGGAATGTATCATTTCCTTTCTTTATATGGTAAATTCTGTGGGTTTGTGTATGTGTGTGAAACTCTATATTTAGATAGAGTTTCGCTCTTGTCGCCCAGGCTGGAGTGCAATGACATGGTCTTGGCTCACTGCAACCTCTGCCTCCTGGGTTCAACAGATTCTCCTGCCTCAGCCTCCTAAGTAGCTGGGATTACAGGGGCCCACCACCATGTCTGGCTAATTTTTATAATTTTAGTAGAGACAGGGTTTCACCATGTTTGCCAGGTTGGTATCGAACTCCTGATCTCAGGTGATCTGCCTGCCTCTGCCTCCCAAAGAACTGGGATTACAGACATAAGTCACAGTGCCCAGCCTGTGAAACAGTACTTTTAAGTGAAATAAAACTCATGTCACATAAAATTGACTACATTAACAATTTCAAAGTGTACAATTCAGTAATTTTTAGCATATTCATGATGTTGTGCAATCATTACTACTAATTAATCCCATAATATTTTCATCACCTTGTAAAGAAATCTTATACCCATTAAACAGTTACTTCCTGTATTTTCTCTCCTCTAACCTCTGGCTATCCTTAATCTATTTTCTGTGTCTATGGATTTGCCCATTCTGGACATTTCATGTAAATGAAATCATATAATATGTTTCCTTTGTGTCTGACTTCTTTCACTTAGTTTAGTGTTTTCCAGGTTTTTCCATGTTATAACATGTATCAGTACTTCACTCCTTTTTATAGCTGAACAATATTCCATTATAATGAATATACTACATTTTAAAAATCTGTTTATCAGCTGATGTATATTTGACTTCTTTCCAGGTTTTGGATGTTAAGAATGTTGCTATGAACATTCAAGTGTACAAGTTTTTGTATAAACATATATTTCAGTTCTCTTGGCTATATACCTGTGAGTAAAATTGCCAGGTCATACAGTAACTTTATGTTTAATGTTTTGAGGAACTGCTAAATTGATTTTCACAACAGCTGTACCATTTTACATTCCCACCAGTAAGGTATAAGGGTTTCAGTCTCTCCATATACTTACTAACACTTGTTATTTTCATTTTTTCATTATAGCTGTCCTAGTGGATGTGAAATGATTTGATTTACATCTGATTAGTCATTTGCTAATGACTAATAATATTGAGCATCTTTTTATATGCATATTGGTCATTGGTATATTCTTTGGAGAAATGTCTATTAAAGTTATTTGACCATTTTTTAATTGGACGGTTTGTCTTTTAGTTGTGGACATCCTCTGAGGGGTGTGTGTGCGCGCGTGCGTGCGCGCATGCGCATTTGCTTGATGCCTATACAGCTTCCTATGTATTTCTTTTTTGGTATATAATTTGCTGACACTTTCCACATTGTGATCAGGGTTAATTTTTTATGTCCTGTCTCTTGCTAGATTGGAGGTTGTTCTAGGGCAGAAAATGTGTGTTTTCATTTTTGCACACCTTTCACCTTTATCACAAAGTTGAAACAACAGAATTGCAATAAATATTGAGATTAAATTAATCAGAGCTATTCCTAAATGGCAATAAATTACAGTAATTGCTTCTGTATGTACTTTGTTAGAAAACTTACACTACTGAGACCAAACTATATATTAAAAAGAGACATGAAGCTGATTCCTTAGTCTCAAATCCTTCTTTGTGGATAATAAGGCACTATTATAAGTTAGCAGAACCGCTTTTACTTCTTTTTATCCATAACCGTAGATGTAACCCATACTGTGCAGACGCACAGAGACACACACATAAACAGAGGCATACATTATGGAATATCATATCTCAATAGACCATGTTTATTTTAACCATATCTTAAGCCAATGATAAAATGGAAGGCGGAGAAAACAATTTTGGTTTCTCCCACATAGGCCTCCCACACAACTTTAGAGACACTGCTTAGATGACCTTTTCATTTCAAGTTTATATGAGAGTAAAAAACACGTTCAATAATTATTTATAAACGATGCAGAAAAAGGGCAAGTTCATAAAATTATTCCTACAACATTTTACTAGTCATAAAATGTACTGGTCATAGTTTATACTGAATATTCTTAGTAGAGAAATCATGAGCTAAATTAACAGCCAAAAACCTCTAGATATATGACTCCCCTTTCCGTGAACTAGGGCTCAATAATGACGTGGCCTGAGACAATTTAAGCTGCTCTAGTTGATATTCAGATGAATCACTATCAATTCAACTCACTGCCTCTCCAATTCTCAAGTTCCAGTTCTAATATCTTAATATCTGAAGTTTAACTATGACCTGATCTCCATTTCACAATCTAGTTTGGAAACTAGAGCACTATCTTGTTCTTATCTTCCTGTCTCAGTAAGATTTCTTGGACCCAGTTTCTCTAAGACTGAGGTCCTAACTTGACTGGTCAATCTTCTAAGGATCAGGATTTGCATATGGAACATCAGAGAGTTCGGGATATCCATAACCTCTCGACAGCACTTTTTTTTTACGTGAATTATCTACGTGTCTTCTCGGGCACCCAAATTGCACTAAATTGTGAAAATCCTACTGCTATGTTTTACCTTCTTTCGTGGGGGAACACACATTTATCTTATTTGTAACTTAACTGCTTGTCCAAATTTCTTCCTATGAGCTATCACCATAAACATTCCTATCTTTTCTGTTGAGCCAACTCTGAGTTACATTCTGTCCAAAACTACATTGGGGCAGTGGAGAGGGGAAAGGATCTATAACTAGGCCTGACCTGCCTTCTAGGACAAAATAAACAGAGGAAGTTATACCTGGATGAACAGATAGTAAGATGTGGCCTCAGTCATAATTCAGCTAATAATAGAGCTTCAAGAAAGAGCACAGTGACAGATACTGGGCTGAGCAATGCTGAGAAATCCAGGCAAGCAGCCAGTCAGGCAGGCAGCTGTGAGCTTGGAGATCAGTTTAGTAAACACATGTCTGTAATGGGAGAAAGAACCTGGAAGATTGACCAGTGAAGTGCTAGGCAACCCAGTGCTAAGCAGCCAGGTTGAAAACGGCAGGTTTAGTTCTTGGGATAAGGGAGCTGGACAGATGCACAGCACAAAAGATTGGATGTCCTGGAAAGCAAAGGAGGGGTATGACTTGGGGAAGTTCTGAAACATGGGGCTAATTTCAGAGGTTCCTATGCTTGGCTTGACTAGCAGGGCAGGATACTTGGAAAACAACAGTGAATACAAATTACTGCCCTTTGACTAACATATCCATTTTCCCAGTAAGTAATTTAATACTATACCAATAACTACAGCTGAGACAAGAGGCTGTCTTTTTCATCACTATCAGAATCACCTTAGAGCTGAAAATGGTACTAAGCATGAAAGTGGGAGGTGTTTTATTAAGCAAACATTCTTGGAATGAACTGGGAAAGAACAAAGAAAATGTTTATGGGTAGATGAGTTGACTTTCTCCTATTCTTTACCTTTCTATCACCTGCTCTGGTACTTGAGTAGTTCCAGGGGCCCCCCAAAAGGCACACACCCTATGAATCTTCTCATTTTGGCTGAGTCATGTAATAAACAATGCCATGCGAGTTAAATGAGCTACATGTTAGGGATCAATATTAAATTTTTATTTACTTTTACAACGTTCAGAATTTTTACATGATTTTCAAGAAAAATTAAAGCCCCTTTACATTAGCCTGAATTGAAAATAAATAAATGACTAATAGCATTTGGTAATGTTTAGAAAATAGCAAATGGATCCTAAAAAAGTACTACATGAAAAATGAAACACTTTTAGTTCCTCTCACATCTCTTTAGGCATCTGTTACAACTTAAGTGAGTTTCCTTTGTGATTTTCCTGCCTCTTTGCCTCTTTATTCCCAAAAAACTCAACACATACTTGTCAGATTAATCTCAAAGGCCCCATGAAGTAATGGAGAGA